GTTTCGGTTGAAAACCGAAATAATGCATATGAAAAACCCGAAGTAAAGCATACATGCACAGTTTCGGTTGAAACCGAAATAATGTCTAAATGCACAGTTTCCATATGCGCAATTTCGGTGCCCCAATCATAAGTGGGCGTGGCTACGCCCATTTTCCAAAAATGTATAATATTCTTATTTTTCGTCTAAAAGTTATAGTAAAATCAATTTTGAGTGAATAATCGTATTTCTGAAAATTACCGTTATATGCGAGGTAGGCGTGATTATTATCCGAGTTCTCCAATTTTCAGTACCAAGTTTCGTTAATATATCTCAATTTTTACTCAAGTTATCGTGTGTAAATACGGACGGACGGACGGACGGAGAGTCACCGCTTAATCGATTTCTTTTTTCATTCTAATCATTTATGTATACATTTGTCTAAATACATACATCTATCTCGATTCGTTTGTCCTGTTACAAACAACCGTTATGTGGACAAAGTTATAATACCCTTGTGCATAAGTGCGCTCGGGTATAAAAAAAAATGATACCAATGTCATCTTCATCTACAACAGTGCTACCGACACTTAAATACATACATACATCGACAGCAGCACCACAAGCTTTTACCATTAAACAGGCAGGCGGCCCTTAAAAGCCTTCATCAAATCTCACTTCCCCTCCTCAACTAGGTAATGTACATACATATGTACATATATGTATACTTAAAAAACAGTGTAAGCAAATGTGGCTGTGCGCCGCTTTACCCCATGGGGCTGCCTGCCACTTAGTGAGCGCTTTGGAAATTTGTGCCATTGTTTGTGCGCGTCGGAAGGAAGGAATTGCTGCGTCATGTCAATGTGTATTGCACTTATGCTGATTTAGCAAATTGTCGCAAAATCCTGCGAAATTGTGTATGACACAAAAAGTATGTAATATACATACATACCCCGTATAGCCACACATACATACAAATTTACATAGTACATATACACAGTATGTATGCCTGTGTGTATGTACATTCATTTGATTGTTAATTTTTTTGTTTGAGAATGTTGGCTTGTATCAGTTGGCAAAGCACCACTACCGATGTATGTATGTACCTACATACATACATACGTACTACAGCAACATTAGAGGAGCATTTGGCCGTGAATCGGCTGATAAGCTAAAGTGCTGCTGCAGTTTCTTTGCCCACTCAACATATTTTATTTATGCCATCGCAAGGACGGAGTTGTTTTTCCGTAAAAATTGTTTAAAAATTTTTGATTGATCTAGCAAATGCTTAGTGCTTTTCTTGTTCATAGGGTGTCCTTCACTTCCCTTTGGCGCTTGTATGTATGCACATAAGTACTTATGTATTTATAGTACTAAAGTCGGTGAATGAAAAATAATTTTTTATGCCGTAAGACAAGTGCTTATTCACTCTCCCTGAGGACTCCACCTTTAGTTACTCACTTTTGTATCGCAACAAGTAGCCTCCTTTGATCTGTTTCCCAACAGTACCTGAAAGCAATGAAGAAAAAAATATTTTAATTTCGTACACTCAGAAAAATCGTTTTCGTATTTTATTACAATGAGCATATGTAAACCAACTGCATTTGAAATTATATTGTTTAGAAAATTTTTATATTATCGTTTATACACTCCCAGTCATTAGATTAGCAGACCCTTTTGATCCCCAGTATGTACAGATTCCCTTTTCTTTGTTTAATATTCATTCATTTTTTTTATAAAAATGTAGCATATTCTACGCCCAAGTCCGATTTTAAAATTGTATAAAAATAAAAAAAAAAACATGTCAAAAAAGGGGTGTGCCATCCTAATGACCTACAGAAAATAAGTTGATAACATTTTCAGGAAAATTTCAGATATGCCGTTTTGTATAGTTTCAAGTGGCCTTTAAATATCGATGAGTTTTTACATTTGATTTAATTATTTTTTTTTTGTTGTTGACGGTGCTGCGCAATTCTTCCATATAAAAATTTTGTCGAGCATACTTTGTATGGAAGAAAATGCATGATACTGTCAACCAAAAAATTTTCTTGACATCTGAGCCTGTTGCCTCACTCTTTCCTCAAGAAATAATGGAACGGCATATATTTCTGTTGAAAACCTGGGTTGCCTTGTGCTCTTTTTTCACAAAAGCTGTAGAAGACTGTAGTACAAACCGTAGCAAATTTCTTATGAACTGCGTACTGCCTTAAGGAAATTTAACTCGAGAAAATTTCTTACCTATTTCTTTATGTCATTTTATATGGAGTTTTTGCTTTTCTTGAGAGCTGCATACTGGCCTTAAGAGAAGAATTTACAATCTTATTTGATTAAAATTCTGTCCCTATGTTTACCACGAAAAGGGCCATAAGTACTTTATCTAAAAATTGTAAAAAAAAATACGTGTCTTATTTTTTTCGATAAAGAATGTAAAAAATATATTTAATCCCAAAAAAAATATTGATTAATTTACTCTATAGGAGCAACTGACATCTGGGTACACATCAATGTTGTCAGGTTGGGCGATCTATCACCAATGGTGCGATCTTTTTCTATCTTTTTCTAGATTTTCCCCGAAGAAATATAAAAACTAGCAGGAGTTTTTTTGGTCGATTTTATTGTCGATTTCGGCAGAACATAACTTAAATATTTAACAAAATTCTCCGCACCTTTGTTTTGTAATTGAAGTATCTTCTAGAAATGCATGTGAAAACTTTAGGACCAAAATTAAAAATATTAGATTTTATTGTGGATTTTGTGGAATCGAAAGTTGTTCCGAATCTTTTTTATGAAAGAAGAAAATCTTATTTTGAAGGGAGATAACCCGATCACGCTCCTCAAATGAGGAAATTGTCGTCACATTCCTTTTTATAATTAGCTTTTCATGTTAGGTCGAAGATATCAGCGTTACAGTAAAGGACTATTTTCGGAAATGGACTTTACTATGTCTATATTTTACAACAGTGTCGGAAACTCTGCTGAGTAAGTTTTCTGGGCATTATGGTTTTTTAAAGCTGCTACCCTGACTTATTTGATATATGGAGGATTTTAAAATAAAAGCTTTTAAAATCTAGTTTAATATGTTTCGGCTACGTTGGAAACGTCTCGATTACCTTTAAACTGGCTTGAATGATGTTTCCGAACTAAGTTTTGCAGCATACGCAAATAATGAACTAATTTAAGTAAGTGAGATCCTAATAGCAAAATAATTATAGAAAAGTTTTCTTGTTGTCCTACTTTTATCAAGAGGTTATGCAAGCCATGAACAATTAATTTTACCCACACATTTTTAAGGTAAATTTTTTCTCTAATTGGGTACAATTAGAAAAAACAATTTTCATCGTTCAATTTGTGGTACGTACATAAGTATTTCTGTTTCAGGTATATTTTTTCTCAAATTAGGTACAAATTAAAAATTTCATTTTCCATCCCAGGTTCAAGAAGGAATTTTATTGTCCCGTTACGAGTGGCAAACAAACCATAGTATATAGTATGAGAGATAATTATTTTTTCGCCATCCATGATAAAAAAAATATAGTAATAAAGAATCGTTATGTTATATCGTCGGCCAAGTCTTTTTTAAGTTTGCTATCATTTCAATTTCATACAAAATCTATCTATCTATACTATAATAAAACTGTAGAAAAGCTTTCTGTTTGAACTCACTAATCGATTACAAATTTTAATTTGATTTTTGTTCTCCAGACGCCACTATCCAATTTATATGTAGAATTGCTCGGTGATTTCAACATTCCGGTTAATTTTTTTGCTATGGATGCGTTTTCGAGATATTTGCAATTTACTGTTATTCAGCTTAAAGCAAAAATTGGTTCCTTTTAATCACGTATATCTTACGAACAAATTTAAAAATCTTAGTGTAACATACGGCAAATGAAAGCCAATGAAATTCTCCATAAACCGTATATACATCACGATAGGGCTTATAGTTTCTGACCAATTAATTAATCATTCCAGCTTTCTTTATTTTTTAATGAAAAAAATTAAAAAAATCAAACTTTAACGGAAGAAAAATTTAAAAAACAAGTAATTTTTATCAAAAAAAAACCGACTTTAACTCTCATATAAAAAAAAATAAATATATATATATATCTCATGATCTACTGATCGGATCTTAACCAGACCAAAATGAATTATCGAAATCGATTGACGTAGTTAGTTATGCGGTAACATACATTAATAAAAAAAAAATATATATATTCCGACGAACTGATAACCTCCTCCTTTTTTGAAAATCGGTTAATAATAGGTTCTGTGCCAAATTTTTGCATTTGCACTAAAGCCTGTTCTGTTACAAAAAGAAAATCATGTTACTGATGAAGAAAATCGATGGATAAATACGAAATAATGAGTGGTCAAATGAAAATGCACAAAGATTTTTCTATAAAAAATGAGCCGGAAAGCAAGTTACTCATACGCCACGTACACTCAATTAAGACGCTGGTGAAAGTTGCTAAAAGTAAAGTAACCATATAAGAACGGTTAAATTTTTTATTTTTTTTTGAAATTCAAAAGCGATCAATTAAAGAGAAAAAATAATAATAATTGGACTTGTTCGAAACTCGACACTCGGGAGATTTTGGGGCCGCTGATTTCGAATCTGAAGTAAATTTTTAAAATTCAAAATGGCGGGTCCAATATGGCTATCAAATCCTTAAAAAAATTACTAAAACTTTAAACATTATTATGGCTTGAAACTCGTTACCAGTGGGTTTCTGATTACGAATCTGATGTCAGATTTTAAAAATTCAGAATGGCGGACATCAGATTGACTTGATAATGGAGAAAATCGATGTATGAATAAAGGAGTAATATGTGGTCATATGAAAAATGAGCAGGAAAGAATGTTACTCATACGCCATGTACACCTGAAACTATCATAAAACTTATCCATAGATTAAACAAGTAAGAAAGTCTAAGTTCGGGCGGAGCCGAACATTAAATACCCGGCGCAAGTATTAAATATATGTTTTTTCACCTTTCCGAAACCTACCGCTAGATGGTAAGCCGGGGTGTATCAATGTTGAGTAAATTAACGTCCTTAAATTTCGAAATATTGCAGTTTCAAGCATTTATGAAATTTACCGTTATATGAAAAGCGGCCCCAATTTTAGTCCGATTTCAATAATTTTCAACGTTTTGCTTATATGTGGCAAGCACAATATCCACACCGAGTTTGGTACAAATTGGTAGAACGGTTACCGATATACTTATATGAGATCATAAGTGGGCGGTGCCACGCCCATTTTCCAAAGTTTTACCATAATCGTATTTCTTGGTAAAGAATTGTTGCAAGCATCAATTTTGAATAAATTAGCTTCAATATTTACTGATTTATCGAAGATTTTGTATTTCTCTAAATTACCGTTATATGGGATGTGGGCGTGGTTATTGTCCGATTTTAAAAATTTTCGGCCATTTGGTATGCTGTACCAGGGCCAACAACTGTGCCAAGTTTGGAAGAAATTGGTGTAGCGGTTACCAAGATATACACATGTAACCATAAGTGGGCGTGGCTACGCCCATTTTCCAAAAATTTATAATATTCTTATTTTTCGTCTAAAAATTATTGTAAATATCAATTTTGAGTGAATTATCTTCAGTAGTTACTAAAATATCGCAGTTTTCGTATTTCTGGAAATTACCGTTATATGGGAAGTGGGCGTGGTTAAAGTCCGATTTCGCCCATTTTCAATACCAACCTACCTTGGATTAAGGGAAACCTACATACCAAATTTCGTTGAGATATCTCAATTTTTGCTCGAGTTATCGTGTACACGGACAGACGGACAGACGGACAGACGGACAGACGGACGGACAGACAGACATGGCTTAATCGATTTCTTTTTTCATCCTGATCATTTATGTATACATTTGTCTACATCTATCTCGATTCGTTTTGGCTGTTACAAACAACCGTTATGTGAACAAAATTAATATACCCTTGTGCACAAGTGCGCTCGGGTATAAAAATTAGCTCGATTCAGCGAGCAATTCTGTAAATGGCGTCCGTTGAATATTTTTTCTGTAAACCAGTGTTATTTTTCAGTTTTCGTTATTTGTTTTTGCCTTTTTTATAGGTTTTTAGGTCCAAAAAACCGTTCCCTGGTCTCATTCTCATTGACTTTTTATAAACAAGACGTTCGCATTTTATGCTTTATTTTTTTTATTTTTATTTAGATGGTCATGTTATTTCCGTTTTATAATCAAACAATATTGAAAAATAATCATATAAACAGTGAGTTAGGTATTTGCAAATTATTTTTACTCGCAAATAGCTAACGTATAGCCGTAGTATTAGACTGCACAATTTACCGTGACTCTAATGAACTGCTGTATGTACATTTGTATAAGTAACTGCATATGTATGTATCTATGTTATGCGTCATTCCTACTTCAAAACTCACATTTACTCAAACTAATGTCATGGATTGTAATTATTTTTATTATTGTTGTACATATTTGACTTTTACATCATATACACGCACACACAC